TTTTTTCTTTTTTTTTTTTTTTTTTTTTTTTTTCCCCCCCCCAGTCGGACCAGCTTACAGCTGCAAATTATGTATACAAATTAAATCTTCAAATTATGTTTCACATTTCTGTTGGATCCAATGATTTTCTCATTTTGTTTTAATGATGTGCGATCGTTTGTTTTTTTCATTATAGCCAGGGACCTCAAAACATAAAAGTAGCCGGGGCCTCTCTGAGAGGGTCTGATTCTAACTGTACTAAAAATCTATTAAATGATCAAGCTATTGTAAGAGTAGTAAATGAATGTCTTCTTATAGCGGTTGGATAACCAGAGGTTAAATGTTCTCAGACTCCTGAATATTGTGTTGTATTCATGTTTTGTGCTTGCTTTTTTTTTCAGATGATTAAATATGGAATCATAAAAGAGATTGGATAAACGGTCCAGACAAGCCAAGGAATACTGATGAGGGTGAGATGTCCCCCCGATATAATTCTAGCCTCCAGAAATAAGTTGGATCAAAAATGCATCATTCTTTACAATTTCTTTTAATTAAAATGTTCCTCGATTGCTCAGCGCCAAGTACGGGGATTTATAACGCTAAAAATTGGGTTCGATACCCGAGATAGGCAGAGCAAAGATAGCCCATTACGTACCTTTATGCTTAACAAACAATACAATTTCCTTGAAGTTAATTTTACAAATTTAAAAAAAAACACCAACAGACAAAAGTAAATAGAAACCTGCAGTGTATTATGTCATAACTGATCATATGAAACGATGAATAAAAAGAAAAAGTTTGGAAAGTAAGAGGTAATTTACTGTTGCTTTGTTTTCTTTTTTGTTATTTTAGTTTTATGCTGATTTACACACCTTTCGTTTTATGAGAGTTGAATAAGCTAACAGTCCACCATGGGGCGCTTTCTCTATAAGAATCCCCTTCGCGGCACAGATACGAGTCACTTTGTGACTTCACGTTTCTTGAAGTTACATTGTTCTGCTATCATGGCTAACTTGTGCAACGGTTTCTATTACAAAACATCAAATCTTTCTTTCTTAATAAATCTACAATTCACATGCCAATCCCGAAAGATCCCAACATACGAAAACCGTCAGGAAATAAAGCAAAAGTATTCCTAATAATTTAAATTTTACGGTAAAACTATTAGTCAGAGCATACGTGCACACGTAACCCAAGTTTTCTTCACCTGTATAAACTGTTCTTTGTGATCGGATATATATCGGTTCATTCTACGATTGAGAAAAATGTCTTATTTTCACTAAACATTTTCTACTCCACTACTATTCCAAGTCAACTAAAAATAGTTACTTACTGCAAACAATGAAATGGGGGACTGATCAACAGAAGAACAATAAACAGTAGACCGTTTCCCACATATATAAAACCCACTTTTCAATATTTAATTATTTAGTATTAACATTGAATTTGAGCTGCCACGTCTCGCTCGAACGTTTCAAAAGTCTCAAGGCCGTGGTGAAGGCTAAATAAAGCCAGTTCCAGAGTGTATTGACTTTTTGTAAACAAACTGCCTTTCCCGAGCAAGACGTTAGGTGGGGTGCGTATACTCAGGTACGGTGACATCAACTAGGTGGCGTATACAATTTGCGTTGTGATTGAACATACGCGACCAGTATTTAATTAAAACTGATAGTTGATTGTGAAGCTGTAACTTTATAACGTGTAATTATTCTCATAACAAAAATTAAGTTTATGCCAAGTTCCTAAGTGTGTAGTAAAGCTGAGAGCACTGAAATCTTTGTAACCCTCTCATTTTCAAGTTTGATTTGGAAACTCCTAATTAATTTAATGTACTACTGTCTTATTCAGCCAGTTATCGTATAAATACACTGTAAACCTCAACTAAATATTCAATACTAGGATATTTCCAGCATAGGGAAATATAGTTAACTTTACACCCCATCAATTTAAAAGACGTTAATTGAGACATTTGCTATCTCAACGGCTTTGTCTCTCTTTCTCTTTCAAATTCCATGTATCTATTAAGAACTGCTTATAAAAGAAAAGTTTACAAATTAAACCCATGAAAATTTGTATTCCTTCGTGGTTTGTGGATGTATCTGCTCGTACCAGTTTAATTTTTATTTTTAAACTAGAAATATATCACACGCTTCCTAAACAGAGAAGAAAACGTTACATTTTGAGATTTTATACAAGGTGGACATAAATATGTATACTGATATATACTCACAAGCTCTACAAGAGACTGAAAAAAACTTTTCACAAAGCACAAGAGATGGGTATTTTTTTTCTTTTCCTATGCAATATTTACTTTGTTACACAGACGAACAATCATACTCCCATCAAACGAGAACGTTGCAGAAATCTCGGTTAAGGTCTGGGATACAACTTGTCTGGAACTCTATAAACTAAAGTTATGAATCTCACAATGATCACAAAAAAACTGTTTCACTAACATTCAGAAGCTGTATCGTCTTATCCACACGTGAAAAGTTTGATTGCCATTACTGACATTAAACATGTAATCTACCAAGAACGTAAAGACCATAATTAGTTTAAATTCAGTCTAGGCAGGAGGTTTGGTAACTACCAGATGCCCTTTCGAGGCCAGGGCAGGGCCCCGATTGGGGTCCAAGAGGGGACAAATCCTTCCGACAGGAAATATGATATTATCTAAATAATAAAGGGGTGATTATTCTGACATTAACAGATCAATAAATTTAAGCACAGGAATCTAAAGAGTTATTTAAAATTTTCATAGGACTGACCCTCCATGACGAAATTAATTTGAAAACGAATATTTTCAAAGACACCTTAATTATTCTATTATTAAATTCAATACTTGTGAAGTTGACAACTCAGATGCGAAAAAGGCTGTTTTGTTATAATATTCGACAGTTACTGGGAAAGTTAGAATCCAGCGAGCTGTATTCGGAAAATGTATGCAAGTATTTATCACCCATAGCTTAAATTTTTGTATCTAGAGTTCTGTAAAAGAAGTTTCGAAAAATAGTGAGTTATTCCATTACTAAAAAAACTACATAATACAAAACTGTAAGGCCTAAGGCAAAATTTCAGCATCTGCCTTGTCTGGTAAGTGGTTGTTATAGCTCGAAAATATAGTTCTACGAATTGTAAAGCTAAGCTTTTAATTTAACTGTCACCAAAAAAAACAATAAAAACTATTTTTATGATACTAAATCTTACCTGCAAGAAGGTTCGTTTCTGGAGTGGTTACATTGTCAAAATCTTGTCCGTTGGACGGACAGCTCAACAAAAAGACCACTACTGCCAAAAGTTTGAACACCATTATCATGTGAATTGCTCTGCAAACACAACAGAACGCGGACGTAGAACCAAATGACCAGCGATATTTGCGTTGTGCAACAGGTGTATACTAGGAATGAGACACGTCACTCTAGCCCTAAACGCAACAGAGCGATACCACATTAACCTCCGGCATCGTTCTGACACCTTTTATTTAGCCAAGAGTTGGGTAAGTCAAGGTCACGTGACCTACGTAGCAAATCCTCTAAAAGTATCCAAGGTCCAATTACTGAGAAAATTAAAAACGATAAGCACTAAGCGGCCAAGTTTCTTATTTGTCTCTAGGTTAAGTCCTTTCAATATTTGACGGTGTCCAGCTACCTAATCACGAGAAATGAAGCAGTTAAATGTTTAAAGTCAATGAAAGTTTCTGCACACGGATCCAACTTTCTCTAAGCGACGTTACCGCCCGTCTTGGCAGGAACTTCCTCGGTCAACGACTTTCAGATTGCTCGGGGCCAAATTACCTTTAGTAGGTTCGGAGAGTTCGTTTTAAGGGATTGTCAAAAGTTTGTGTCAGCAGTATACCACATGAACCCGGCTGCTCCGCCATTACCCACAAGTCGCCAACAACACCTTACACACAACTAGTATATTTTTCATAAAAAAGTTTTGTTTGCATAGAATTAAAATTTTGTGTAAACTTCATTCCCAAAAAGAGAATATATATATCAAATATGATTTACTGATCACCTGGGAGTAAAAGAAATATATAATAATCTTCGGACTTCCCTATGAAATTTGTAAAACCGGGAAGTGGGGGGGGGGGAGTTTTTGGGAATAATTTCGTAATATTCATGAGGTAATCTGTTTTTCTAAGCAATAACTAAAAGTGTTCATTGTAATTTAGATTTATATAGTATTTAACTTTCAGTATATTCGTATTTTAACAACGAACCTTCGAAACACCTAAATGTTGGGTTTTTAATTAATCATAGTCCAGAATTATAAACAGTAAATAACGATAATTTTATTACGTAGTTAATGCAGAAGCAAACTAATACATTGGCTAGTTCAATTACTGTTTTTATGGAAAACATTCTCTGTGTACAATCCAATACTCTTGTAAACTTTTGTTTACATGTATTGTTCCATTATTAAAAACTCTTCTCGAACATATTTCGAATAAAAGAACACGATCTATGAATTAACTAAAGCTCGTTCCACTAGTAAAAAATAGAAAAGGGCCTTCGAAGTGTTTGAAAAAGTGTTGTAATCAATTATTTTGTCAGGAACGTAATGACTATTACAGATTACGTAAGTTTTAAAACCGTAGAAGCAGACTTCACCCCCCTCCCCTTTTTTTAGCTGATGAATTCATCAGTTCTTGTAACTTTCATTTAGTTTATTTTATCTTTACTGTATACTGATCAATTATTTCAAAATTTCGTCATCAAAGTACTAATGTAGCAACAGCGATTTTAATTGTGCTACTGTACCTTGGCTTTCACAGTACTCGGTCTTCATCCACCATGTGGATGTGTTTGTTTGTCACGTAGGTTGAACTCGGAAGGGAAAATAACATCCATGGACTGTGTTTCTAGGGGGTTCTCCTACATTTTTGTTTGGTTTTATAAGGACCCAAAGTGAATTCCAAAACGACACTTTAAAACTACACCAAAATAAAGTCCACACGTCGAACGCCTAAGGACATTTTGAAATGATAACTCAGAATTTCACAAAATCAAGTATAAAACACGAGCGAATTTTATCGAGGATGCTGTAAAACATTTTGGTGAGGATAAGCAAGGTCAACCAAACAATAAACAGATAATACTGAAGACAGAATATGCTACAACTGAAAAGGGTTAACTCCTACGTGATTAGAATAAAAAGAGAGAGAGAGACTTAAAAGACGTGAATTTTTCTTTTAGTAAAAAACATGCAGGTTTACAAACAGAAAGAGTTGGTTCACAGATGACTTCACGTTACCAACCAAGGAACAGATTAATCACTTTTTTAGTTGCCGCCTTAATAATATGACAAGGTAATATGTAGTAAAATTTAAGCTAAATTATTCTCACATTTACAGTTTGTTTTATATGCATAAAAATACGTCTCGTAGGTTCAATATTGTCTGGTTTATGACAAGAGTAGATAACACAGACAACGGTTAGGGTATTTTTATTAGGATAATTGTTTTAAGGTACTTGTACGAAAAGCCCTTGGCTTATAGAAGTAAAAATGCATCTTATTTTGACCGAAAAATGACTACATCAGTAACGAATTTGGAAGTACAAATGCACCTTTCATGACAGATAAAGTGTAGTTTTTAAAAATATTATATAAAAACGAAACTCCAAATTCGTATAGGTTAAACTAGTACATGAAAATATTTGAATATGATAAAATCGTTTAAAACTACTTTACCAATTCGATTCGGTTATATCATTTTTGTTAAAACAGTAATCCTATTGAGTGATAATCAGAGCTTAGTCATATGGCTTTTAAACAACTAATAAATATATATGTAGATTTCTTATTTTAAAACTTTTTGTTTCATTCCTGTGAGTACTTTCCATATTCTATGGCTTCGCAACTCTCTCAATAGACGCTGTGTGTGTGTATAGGTTGTTTTGTTTTAATACTAAGAACTAAATCTGTAGATGATTTAATTTCCACACTCTACGGCTTCACAACCCGATTTTAAACGTAATAAAGTCTTCAAACTTACCGCTGAGCCACAGGGAGGTAAACAATTCTATGAGTGTAAGTTTATATATTTCTTTAGTACCTGGTTTCGTAGCTTTACATCTCAATAACCAAGCGTGGAAATTGTTTTAGTAGCCTGCCAACTACTACAAGTTAGATCTCCTGACGGAAGCAGTTTCTGAACTCTACCTTGTACATTGACACGAGGTTAGTCACCAGTAAAACGAGTCCCAGCAATACCTGGGGCGTCATTTTCCATTCATAACATTCTTCACGGCTTAAATAAAAGTATACTACAAGTTTTTAATTTTTTATTATTTAGAAGCCATTAACATACACTACTACTTACGATAGGGGGGGGGGGAGAGGAGATGACACAAATTCTAAGTTTAGTAATTGGTCAGAAGAACCAAGTATAAATCACAAACATTTGGATAGGTTAAGTCCAGATCCAACTAGTTTATTTATTAGTTAGCAGAACCAATGTATAAATAGCAAAAGTTTGGATGGTTTAAGGCCAGATCCAACTAGTTTATTTATTAGTTAGAAGAACCAAGGTATAAATAACAAATATTTGGATAGGTTAAGTCCAGATCCAACTAGTTTATTTATTAGTTAAAAGAACCAATATATAAATAGCAAATATTTTGATAGGTTACGTCCAGATCCAACTAGTTTATCTATTAGTTAGAAGAACCAAGGTATAAATAACAAACAACTAGTTTCTTAATTAATTGGTTAGATGAACCAAAGTAAAAATAACAAATATTTGAATAGGTTAAGTCCAGATGCAACTAGTTTATTTAATTAATTGGTTAGATGAACCATGGTATAAATAACAAATATTTGGAAAGGTCAATTCCAGATCGAATTGGTTAATTATTTATTAGTTAGAAGAACCAAGGTATAAATAACAAACATTTGGATAGGTTAAGTCCAGATACAACTAGTTTCTTCAATTAATTGGTCAGACGAACCACAGCATAAATAACTAATACTTGGATAGGTTAAGTCAAGATACAACTAGTTTATTCATCAGTTAAAAAATATAAATAACAATCATTAGGATAGGTTAAGTCCAGATCGAATTAGTTTATTTATTAATTAGTTAGAAGAACCAAGGTAGATATGACAAACATTTATATAGTGCAAGTCCGGGTCAAATTAGTTTTTAATTTGTTAAATGAACCAAGGTATAAATAATAAACATTTGTTTAAGTCCAAATCCGACTATTTTATTCATTACTTAAAAGAACCATGGTATAAATAACAAACATTTCGATAGGTTAAGTCCAAATCCAACTAGTTTATTTATTAGTTAGAAAATCCAAGGTATAAATAACAAACAATTGGATGCGTTAAGTCTAGATACAACTAGTTTATTAATTAATTGGTTAGAAGAACCAAGATATAAATAGCAAATATTTTGATAGGTTAAGTCCAGATCTAATTATCTTATTAATTAATTGGTTAGAAGAACCAAGGTATAAACAACAAATATTTGGATAGGTTAATTCCAGATCGAATTGGTTAATTATTTATTAGTTAGAAGAACCAAGGTAGAAATGACAAATATTTATATAGTGTAAGTCCAGGTCAAACTAGTTTATTAATTAGTTAAAAGTACCAAGATATAAATAACAAACGTTTGTATAAGTATATATTCCATTATTTTATACATTACTTAGTAGAACCACGGTATAAATAACAAATATTTATATAGGTTAGTTCCAGATCGAATTAGTTAATTATTTATTAGTTAGAAGAACCAAGGTAGAAATGACAAACATTTATATAGTATAAGTCCAGGTCAAACTAGTTTATTAATTAGTTAAAAGACCCAAGGTATAAATAACAAATATTTGGATATGTTAAGTCTAGATCCAACTCGTTTATTCATTAGTTAGAAGAACCAAGGTAGAAATGACAAACATTTATATAGTATAAGTCCAGGTAAAACTAGTTTATTAATTAGTTAAAAGACCCAAGGTATAAATAACAACCATTTGTATAGGTCTAGATCTGACTCTTGTATTTATTACTTAGAAAAACCATGGTATAAATAACAAAAATTCGGATAGGTTAAGTCCAGATCGAATTAGTTAGAAGAAACAAGGTATAAATCACAAACATTTGGATAAATTAAGTCCAGATCCAACTAGTTTGATAATTAATTGGTTAGATGAATCATGGTATAAATAACAAATATTTGGACAGGTTAATTCCAGATCGAATTAGTTTATTTATTAATTAGTTAGAAGAACCAAGGTAGAAAACCCAAACATTTATATAGTGCAAGACCAGGTTAAATTTGTTTCTTAATTTGTTAAAAAAACCAAGGTATAAATTACAAACATTTGGATAGGTTAAGTCCAGATCCAACTAGTTTATTAATTAGTTAGAAGAACCAAGGCATAAATAGCAAATATTTTGGTTGGTTAAGTCCAGATCCAACTAGTTTAATTATTCGTTAGAAGAACCAACATATAAATAACAAACAATTTGATAGGTTAAGTCAATATCCAATTAGTTTATTAACTAATTGGTTAGAAGAAACAAGGTATAAAGAACAAAAATATGGACAGGTTACGTCCAAATCCAACTAGTTTATTCATTAGTTAGGAGAACCAAGGCATAAATAGCAAATATTTTGGTTGGTTAAATCCAGA